CCCTGTTGCGGGGGAGGCAGGGGAGCTGCAGGGGGATCTCCCACCTCCATGCAGCCAGGGGCCTGTGCTCCCCCCTGCCAGGCCGGAGCCTCCACATCTCTGTTTGGACAAATACAAGGAGCAGACTGAAAATATCGCGTGTGGCCCTTTTCATGGGTCGGTGCCAAATTCCAAGCAGTGCACGCACAAGGCCCACCAGCCCGGCAGCACACACGGCAAACCCCTGGTGCTGCCCGCTGCTTCGTGCGCCCCTGGTGCAAGCACCCCACGCCAGTGCATCTCCTCCCTGCTCGTTCAAGGCCATGCCAGCAGGGAGCATCTGCGCCGATTCCTGCCAGCTTGGCAGAGCGCCCATCGGACCCGCTCAGGCTGTGGGAGACGGGCCTCCCCAGCCCCAGATGCCCCGTCTGCTCAGGGATGACTCACCAGCCAGAGGGACGGCCAGGAACGGCACCCGCCAAGAAAGGGCCCGCTGGGCCGTGCCAGGCTGCCTACAGCTCCCACTCAAGTTACTGCCAAGTCAGAACAACTGCCCCGTTGAAGAGCAGCCTTTCCTCCCGTCTGCCCCACGGGCACCAGCGCCGCAATGCGGGACAGAAACGCTCACCCGCCAGGTCTGAAAAGTTCCCCCCAACGTGCTGACCCAGGACTGCTCCCTTGACTCGGACAACTGGCCCCGTGGGATCCCCCTGCCCAGTTGGTAAGAGAAGAGCCGCAGGGCTCAAATCGTTTACCTTTCATACGCGAGGTGGCAAGCCCGGGGCCACCAGGGCTACAAACCGCCCAGGGTAGGGGCCCCGGGACTCAGACCTGGCCCACACTGAGCTCTGCCCTGCACGCAGGGAAAGCAAAGGGGCACCCTGCTGCCATCGCCCAGCGTGGGGCGGAGGCCAGGACGGGCCATGGCCTTGGGCACCAAGATGAGCCAAGGGGCCGGAGCAAGCAGGGGGCCGCCCTGGGGCCCAGGGGCCGGAGCAAGCAGGGGCCGCCCTGGGGCCCAGGGGCCGGAGCAAGCAGGGGGCCGCCCTGGGGCCCAGGGGCCGGAGCAAGCAGGGGGCCGCCCTGGGGCCCAGGGGCCGGAGCAAGCAGGGGCCG